GTTACTTACCCAGTCTGCTAGTTTGCCAATAAACCAATGTGTGCAGCACTACATTAATTCATCCGAATATCTAAGCATGTTGCTCACTGAGTCAGATATTTCTTGCCTCAAATACTGTTGAAAAGTAAATATCTTTGTAAGCCTAAATTAACTCCTTTGGGCTTTTAAGAAGTCCAGGATTGCTTAGTAAACTGCTTTGCCAAATGAAAACAAGAAATCCCTTTGCACTGGTAATATCCAGAACCGATGAGCAATGAATAGGAAGCTCAGTAAAACACGAGCTAGAACTCAGAGTTAAAGATTCCAGCAAAGATCCACAGTCTATGGAAATCTCAGTTTTGAAAAGAATAAACTAAAAAAGAAATGAACAGTATCAGAAGCAGCAAAGAGGAATATAAAATGGTGGGTTTGGGGTAACAAAGATACGATCCTTTTTTCTTATATTTAATAAGTTGGAAGGTTAAAGCCAGCTAAGTCTGTAGGAAAATATGTCAGAGAGATAACTAAGAAAGTTAACCTCAGTATGAAATTGTTCCGAGGAAGTGACCTAGAATTGAGAGTAAGGATTCTGAATTCCCAACAGAAATCAGATTGCCTATCCTCAATATTCTGTATTTTTCTTAGTAGCAAACACAATTCTCAAGAAAAGAAACTTGATTTCTTCACAATTTAGAGTGCCCAACATAGAAGAGTAAAGTCAAAACAATGTCCACTACCCCTAAGTGTTGTAATTGAATGGTGTTGAATTGTGTGTGTTGTGCAATGTGTTACTCAAAATGTCAAAATGATGCTTTTTGTAAAATTGAGCACCAGGTTCAACTGATAGATTGAATGCAATTTACATCAGGTAGGTTTATCAGAAATTAAGTAACATGAATAAAACTACTATGAACCTTACCCGTTACCCTTAACACCTCTTACTTTTTCTTTTTTTTCCCCATTTTTTAACCACAAAGTTATTTTCTTTTTTTCATTATGAATGAAGTCTTCTAATAAATAAGAAAACAGCAATTTAGAAAATTATAAAGAATGGAAAAACAAACCCACCCAAAGTCCAACACCCAGAAGCAAAGTGACTCACCACTGATATCATTTCTCATTTTCTTCCAGGCCTTTAAAATGCATTTTTATCCTTTTATATACCACTTATTTCTGGTTTGAAATTTATATAATTTTTAGCAAAAGCATTTCCCCAAGCTATTGGCAACTTTTTGGATACATTTTAATGATTCTATAATGATATACAATTTACGGAGTTAGTCATCTAATGAACATTTAGTATGTTTTGTCTTTTTTTTCCTTCATTCCTGCCAATCAGGCTTCAATGAATGTCTTTATTATTTACCCCTCTCTGGCATCTAGCAGAGAATGCATTCCCAGAGTAACACCCCTCTGGTTTTGTTTCAGTAAGAACATGGTGACTATATAAAACCAGCATTTATTCTTTCCATTTAGCACACACTCTCTACTTTGTTTAATGCAATGGCATTATTAAAATATTACAGTGTTTTTGCTGTAAACATAAGAAGAAGCAATAAAATATGACAGGTCATCAGATATGCTCTAAAAATGTCTATGGCTTACTATTCCTTGGAAATTCCTTGTTACCATAGGAAGGAGATAAATCTTGGTATGAAATCAATTCTACTAGAATTCACCCATGTGAGCCTACCGTAAAAAGAATTGTCTTACTACCCACTACTAACAACATGGCACAGAAACAGCTGAATGAAGGCGTGTTTGAGAACACAAACTAGCATTTGACAGACACCGTCATCTTAAGAAACAAGCAGAGCTACTGTCTTGAACATTAATGGATTGGGGCTCTTCATTCTTCTGGAAATTCTAAATAATCTCATTATGAACCTTTGAGCCATTCTGAGGAAAACAGAAAAACAAAGTGATCTTTAATGTCTTTCTCAAGTCTGAAGTTCTATAAAAACACTAAAATTACAAAACAACGTGTATTTTCATGACCAAAAAGTTTGCAGCAGTATTATTACAAACGTCTAAGCTATCTAATTCTGCATAAATTTTCAAGTGTTATTGGTTTCACCTCAATATCCTTCACATCTGTTCTTTTCTGCCTCCCTCCCAGGCTCTGTTGTTCGGTACTGTTTTTTAGCTTACAATGCAAATATAGATATACAGATTTTTAAATATAAATTCACCTCTGTACTAATATTTATACATTTTTAAATGACACAAAAATAAATAACAAAGTTTAAGATTAAATATAAATACAAATAGAAGTTCAAATATCTCTTCTTGCTGTTCACCCACCCCCTGGGATGGCCTTGCACACCCCTTGGGTTGTGTGCCCCACTCAACATCTGGGCCAGACTGTAGTTATAAGGCAAACTGGACTCCTTGCCTCCCTTTCATATTCTTTCTGTCCAATCTCAGCTCACCTGTCAGTGACCTTTTCAAAGAGTAAATCCTACCATGTTACTCACCTTCTTAAAATTCTTCTTTGCAAGTTGATAAAAATGTAAGGAGAACTTCTTTAATTATTGCATCATGCCTTTCATTTTTTAGTCTCATTTTCCTCATTAATGACCTACCTTTCAGTCAAAAGGTATTTTGAAGGTATTTTGAAACTGAATAGCATACTCTGCACACTTTTAATTTTTATTGCAAACTGTGTTTCCTAAGCAGAAAGTTCTTTCTTTACCTGCCTTTTCTATTTATATTTAAAAATTTAAATTTAGCTCAGATATACTCTCCTTTATGAAATATTACTAATACCTTTTGCCAGTTCCCCATTTCCCCTATATCAACTATTTTATTATAATTTAATTAATTATTTATTGTTTGAATCTACCTCTTAATTGAGCTCCTAGAGAGTAGCAGTCTGATATAGTTTTGGTCTCTACTGCAACCTTACATGTTGATGGCAGTTGGATCAGTGCCACATAGCAATAAATATTTGTGGAATATATGAATGAATGTCTAGGAGCCACACCAAAACTACTGAAAAACACTTTACATATTCCATTTGGTGGCAAATATTACTTTAATAAAAGATTCACCAAAGTATGGAAATATATATCCAAGGTCAAATATTCAGGGCCATAGAATGATATCTTGAATTTAAAATTATGTAGCAAAATGATTGATGGAACTGGTAAAAGTTCCAGTTTGGAATATTCATTCCACTATCCCTCTGTACAGCAACCCCTACTACTATTTAAAGGAGAACTGGATTATGAAAGTTATTTACATTGAACTTTGACATGTGATAACTGGATAAAGTCAAAAAATTTCAATTAACTGATTTTGCATTTGATTTTTAATAGACTTTAGCATCTTTAAGAGGCTTATTTCTATTCTTACTCCATTTTGAACATTATTAAAATTATGAATTACTATTGTGTTATAAAATTCTCATTCAGCACTTATTAATATGATGATTTTTATCCTGCTAATTTTGATGCAGTTACATTGACTCATTACCTAATATTTAAACATCTTTACACTTCTGTACCAAAGTTTCCCTGTCAATGGCATTATTCTTCAGATAATAATATTTTATATATGCTAAAATTTTATCTGGGCATTTTGCATTCATCTTCATAAGAGTAAAGGGTTTCCAATATGCACATCTAAATATTGAGCCATGTAACTCTTTATTATGTTGTAGAAATCACTTGAAATATGATTGAATCAAATTTATCTCAGAGACTGTATTTGGGTATGGACATTCTAGCAGTTCTGTCAAATAAGGAATCAGGATAGCTACCGTTTATCAAATGTTTACTTTGTTCCAGTGAATCTCAAATGCTTTATTGTGTATTAACTTACTTAAAACCTAGGAGACAGAAATTATTATTAACTCTATTGTAGTGGCACCCCCTCCTCCACAAAAAAAATCTTAACTAAGTTTCTCCTGAAATCTTCAACATAATTGATTTTAAGACTATAAGCAAAAGAGTCTGTACAAAATAGTTTGATGTAGTTAAACTTCCTATTTTCCTGTTGCTCTATTACTTGGCCAGTGGCTGGGAAGAAATAAGCACTCCAGGTGCTAAACTCTTCTTTACCTGTTTTTCACAAACATGTATCCAGTGTATCCAGTATAGTAGTTTGTAGAGGTGTGTTTGTAAATGCAAAATGTGATAAAAAAAAAAAAAAAGAAAAATCCTTTAGCAAGGCCTCTAGCCTTGAGCTGATGCTTCACAGAGATGTCTATATTTCTAAGATAAGAGAAGTTACCAATTGGGCTCCATGGAAACAGCTGGCAGGGGGAGGGGAAAAAAGGGGAGAAGAAGCTCTGCTCTTATCAGATGTTGTTCTTGAAGGGTTAACTTTCCCAGAACAATGAAAGAATAAGCTGCTTTTATGTGAACTTCTGAACCCCTCCCCTTACATGCTGGGTATAAAATTCTGAAACTACCTGAACTCAAGATTTAGGGGATTAACTGATTACAGCAAAAGCTGTGCCCTTTGAATCTGGCTGCAGCCAAATAAAACTGTTTCCTGCTATCTTCAGTGCCTTGCCTCATCTGTCCCTACAACACTGTCTTGGGGCAGAAAAGCTATGACACAGAGATGTAAAGTACCCAGAGTCCCAGAGATGGTAAATTGTAGATGCAGGATTGGAATTCAAAAATTAGGCCCCAAAGCTTATAATCTTCATCATTATATATTATCTCTCCAGTATGTTACAGAGAGGGACATAAATTCCAGGAGTTAGTTTTTCAAAGACAAAATCTGATATATTCACTCTTAATAACCTATGACTATTTAAACAATGTAGAATTTTAAATAGCATTATTCTAAATACATGCTATTTATTAATTAATAACATAGATTTTAGAATGATTGTTATTTAACTGTTAAAAATTTTAAATGGAAGGCTGAGAGTATAGCTTGATAGTAGAACAATGTCTATCATGAGCAAGGCCCTAGATTCAATCCCCAGCATCACACAAAAAAAGAAAACGTATAAGAAAAATATTGCCAAAGTAATAACACCTTTTTTCTTTTCATCTTTTCAGCAATCTTGACACAGAGGAGCTATGTGGTAAGTTTCTTTTAGACCAATCAAGCCCATTACTTGTTTTAGAAGTGAAAAATTTTTCTGGTGTATGTCTATACACCTTTGAATTAATGTTATAGATTAGGAATTCTGCTACAAATAAAAGATAAATCAAAGATCTCAAGGGATTTTTCCTGTATCCATGAGTTTCTCTCAAGTGTGCATTCCACTGCAGAAAGATTTGGGCTTCTTTAATTTGTTCATGGAAGGAGAATTGTTATTGTAATCAGTGCATTAGTTTCACAAGAGCTAAGTCTCCACTAGTTTGAATATATCTTTAAATTGGTGTTTAATACAACCTCATTATTCTCTTCACAATATAACGTGCAGAGCCTTTTGTTACTGTTTTGCAAAGCTGTCTCCTTGAAAAGTAAAAATAACTTTGTCCCATACCTGCCTAAACTGTTCTAGAATTTTAAATGTCACTCAGAAAACAAATGATTCAAATGGGAGAGATGAATCTTTACAAATGCCTGGTTTAATGGCCTCTTCATTTATTTTCTTCATCTTTGTAGTTGAAAACAAAAGTCAAAAATTAGAAATGTGCAAAAGTAAATGTATCTCAAATTTATTCTTTGTTGCAGAGCAATTATGGAACATTATATTTGAAACAATCTTATCTCTTTGACTACTGGAAGGGCAGAAACTTTACACTTTAAGATAAATGGATGAGATAATCTTTGTCCATGTTTGGGATTATTGTCTAGGCAGCCTGGGACTTCTTGGTGGTTAGAAGTGAATTTTTCTGGAAATTCTAACTGAAATCACAAGTACTTCCAGAGTCATAATTCTTACAATTTTAGAGTTTATCAAAACCTTCAAAAAGCATTTTATAATTGAAAAGAGGTTCTCTTCCATTTTAGCAAAGTAGTTGAGCAACACTAAGATGGGTGATGCTGGGATAAAGTGTTAAAATGCAGGATTTCGGGACCATAACTGAAAAAAAACAAGACCACAATCACCAACTATGAACTCACTTAAAACCTAAGAAACAAATTATTATTAACCCTGTCTTGGGGCAGAAAAACTATGCCACAGAGACGTAAAGTTCCCAGAGTCACAGAGAAGGTAAAATGTAGATACAGCTTATATTTGTCGTTATTATGCATTATCTCTCCAGTATGTTACAGAGAGAAACATAAATTCCAGGAATTATTTTTTCAAAGACAGAATTTGATATAATCATTATTAATAACCTATGACTATTTAAACAATGCAGAACTTTAAATAGTCATTTTCCAATAGTCATTTAATAAGAAATTGAAAAAACAAACAAACAACTGTGCTCCTTGTAGGGAGCACATATTGTCCATCCCAGGTTCAGGGAGAGGAATCCAACTGAAAAAGCAAGATAGGGATAAACAGATGCAAGGTACTTTGCTTTTGTTAGTCATGAAACATCAGCAGAGAATATCTTACCATGTGTTCATACCTGATGGGGCAGTGGCCCCGTTCACACACAGTAATACAGTGCCAAGGGGGTAGAAAGGCCCTGTGGACCATACCACCAGCTTCATGTTGAACAGCAATCATCATAGAGGTAAGTCGTGGTTCACTCTCATCTATGTGTATAAAAAACTCCTATCAGGGAAATAAAGTTGAGAACTGAGAAAATTATCTTGATAATTACACAAAGGTATGGGACACATTTGTTCTGACTATCTAGATATGTCAGACCAAAGTAATCATTTCCTCAAGTCATTCAGCTAATTTATTTTATTTTCCATTTAACTTTTTCTGATTAACACAGCTGAGAAAACAGATTGTTACAGGGAATTTTAAGATAAAGACATTTAGTGTCTCTTCTTTATTTGCTATCTTGCATTGTCATTAAGGAATATTCCATTAAACTCTATCTTCCTTTAAAAATACTACAAATTTTAAAACATGGTAGTGTATCTTCACTTAATCACCACAAATTTTTTTATTAATTTTCTTTTTCCATAATAAAGAACCTACGAAAAAGACTATGATTTTATCCTCGTAGTTCTAGTTAAGAAACTAGTAGATGAGGTCTAATTCAACAGAGTTGCTCTATATTTTTAAAATCCAGTGATTGTATTCCCAATCATGTTATAATCCTCCCCCTCTCTGTTCAAGAATATGCATTTTAATTTCCAGAGTGTAGTTTCATTTCTCATTATTTTGTGAATATAAAGTAAATATTTAAGTTGGATTCTAATCAAAGCCAAATGCTTCAGTTCTAGCAAGTGAAATATGTAGATTCACACCCTGCACAAGTTCCCTCATGTGCGTGGGAGGGGGAATGCTTGATTGGCACAGAGAGGAGATTTCATGTACTTTCTTCTAGAAGCCAATTAAAAATTCCAGGTATCTAAGACTTTCAATTTGTTGCTTTTGCTTAATTTGTCAGCTTACTCAATTATGTGCCCAGAAATAAAAATCTATTAAAATATTGATTAAAAAAATATTTTTGTGATTTTAATTATGAAAGTAATATTTAACTACTATTAAAAATTTTTTAACAATACAGAATCACGTAGGTGTTTAAATTAAAATGTCAGTTTCTCTTACCCCATTCTGATCTGTTCTAACTGCTTTGAACATATTCTTCAAAATGTTTTTATGCATATGTTGACATTGATAGGTATGTATATATTATTGTTTTTCAGCAGCATGATCATATTATATGATAGGTACAACTGCACACTGTTCTACCTCATTTTATTAAAAAAATTACATAGAATCTCATTTACATTATTATATATATTTTTTGCCCTTTAATGGATTAAATTCCTTTTTAATGGATTTTCCAGATTGTTTCCAACTCTTCACTGGAACAAACAGCATTGAAGTAACTATTTCCATATGTATTATCTTTGCTCTTTTGTTCAAGAAGTTTTGTATGTTGGATTCCTCAAATTGTAATTTCCTAATTAAGCTTTTTCCGACATACACACCCACTGTCAGTCCATAGGAGTGCCAAGGTTATTCTCTCTTCACATATAATTACAAAGTCCTTCCTGAAAGCATCTTCTGGCCTTTTCTTACCACTATTGGTCAATAAGCAAATGGTTTTTACTTAGAATTTTGAATTCTAGCATTGAGGCTTTGGTTTTATATTCATGCCATCTTTAGTTCTGATCTGAACAATTGAGAGCATGATCACTACTTTCCCAGTCCTACCCAGTTCATGACTATTTTCATAACCCTTCTCACTTTGACTGAATGCTTTTGCAAATCTTGAACTTGGTAGCTAAGAATTTTGAGATATTTATAGATGAGGCAAGAATACTTGCAAAGAAAGTTCACATAGCTAGAGTACTCTATCTGAAAGCATCCATAAGAAAGCTTTGTGGCCAAGGTAGAATATATTTAATAGTGTGTTGTTGGTTGTTACCTACTAAATATTAAACTATTTTGAAAGATAGATGATGTCTATAAATAATATTATAAAAACCGATGATATAGGAAACTCCCAGAATAAAAGATGACTAGCTTCATGGGCAATATTCTTTTTAGTGGTGATATGCTAGGCACCTTTGGTCACACCACAGTGCTGGGCACCCCTGGTTATACTGCAGAATTGCAGTGCTGAGAGACCTATGCCAGTGAGCCTGGGTGCTGGGAAACAGAGGACTGTTTGTCCTCTTCCATGCTGTTAGAGCTGTGTCTACCTGGCAGGTGCCACTAGGTGATTGAATCATAGAACACATTGAGTGACACTGATCTGCACCTCCTCAAAATAACCCTTATTCTGAATTGCTAACAAATGCCTCTTTTCAGATCACTGGGGTTTTAACTCCCTGTCATCTCAGTTATTTTCTCTTCTCTAAAGTCTACTACTTCAGATGTTCCAACAAGGCGCTGTGGCATTTATTTAAATTCTTGAAAATGCTCTGTGAGCCCCATTGCCTGTGCAACCTTTGTGGCAGCCATGGGTCCTTTGGTTCTGATTTGCAGTTCTCAGGCCAAACCTGAAAACTTAACAATTTGGAGGATTGAGGTACAGAATAAAAACAAAAAATAAATAAATAAAACCTGTCATTTGATGACACAACACCCCGATTAAGTGCAGTAGGGAAGGGAGAAACTAACCTCTCATTAACATTTTGTTAGATAAGATGTCTCATTGAATATGCATGAGAAGATAATTTGCTTTCTGACAGTTAACTTGTTTAATATCTCTGTTTATAAATTGTACTCTACTGTTTCATTACAACCAAAGTCCAGATTCTTTTTACTTTCCAAAGATTTTTTTTTCACTTAAACTGATGAGGACTGAATCTTGTACATTTCCATTAAGTGCAATATGACTCTGTTGAATCCAGGTCCATAATGGGAACCCACGTACAGATTTACATGAAAGTAGATCTTTTTTGCAAGGAAGTTATTGTTACCCAAAGGCAATAGTTCCAAGGAACCAATATTTGTTCCAAGTTTTTATTTCTCTCTAATGCCATGATTTAAGGACAAAACACATTTGCCCAGCTCACACTGCCACCATGATTCATATGAAAAACCTGAGGCACAATAACAAGAATAAACCATTAGTTCAAGTTCAGCATTCCAAAGCCATCTCTGACCTCCTCTCCCTGCTTGCCACATTTTATTTGCACAGAGAGACTACTGAAGTTCTAAATCACTACCCTTCTTTTACCCCACAGCATAGCCGTGGTCCTTGTCCTATGATGAAATTGCTCCTGGCAATCACTGCGGCTCTTGTCTCTCTTGATGGTGTCACCAACATTCCCCAAATCATCCACATTGCATTCAGGGTAAATATTTCTAAAACGACAATCACTGTCTTTTTCAAAATTATTCCATGGCTTCCCAATACCCATAATGGTCTCAAATTTAATCTACACATCATAATCTCCTAGGAACCCCAAGATTCTGATTTAGTAGATGAGATCTTATAAGTGATCATAATTCCCAACAAGTATCCTAGAGCAATGCTTCTCAAACTTAAATGTACCTACAAATAACTTATTAAAATGGGGATTGTAGCCTGGAGCAGTGGTGAGGATCAGCACTCCAATAGTCCCAGCTACTTGGGAGATGAGAAAGGAAGATCATTGAGCCCAGGAGTTTGAGACTAGCCTGGAAAACATAGTGAGATGCTATCTGAATTTAATTAATTAATCAATCGATTAATTAATTAGTTCATTCTACTTAGTTAAATTTAATTAATTATTTTTTTAAAAGCACATTGTGATCTAGCAGGTCTGGGGTCAACCTGAGATGTTATGTTCTAGTAAGAACTAACATGAAACTGCTAGTCTACAGACCACACTTCGAACAGTCAGGACACTAGAGGATTCTGATGCAGATGGTCAAAAATACTAACCTAGACCCGAGAATAAAGTTAGAGCACCTTGTAAGGAATGGTTTCAGAACATCTGGCTTCCTTTCTCACCACTGATTTTCAGTATCTTGCTGTCTCCCATCCTCAAATACCTCCTAGTCATGCCCTTCATGTCCTAGTAATGCTGAAATACATATATTCCAGCCAACATGACAAGATATCACCTACTTCCTTGCCTCCTCTCTGGTTGCCCAACAGGTTAGGTCCTATTTAGCTATTATTGAGCCATTGTTGATCTCACTCTTATGACATCCTCTCCAACTTACCCAGGTAGACGCAGGCATTTTTTGCCTTCTATTCAGATTATATCTTATACCTGGACTCTGAATCATCACCTTGAACATCGATCATGTATATTTCAGTTAATATTCATTTTCCATACCTGTTTGTACTTTCCCCAAAGGTAGAGACTCTGTCTGTTCATCTTCTTATTCAAACTCCTTCTACAGCCCCTGGCACATAAGAAACACTGAATAAATGTGTTAGGTTTTGAAATGAGTAAATGAATGCTAACCATAATAAAGTGGAAGGGAATTATCTCCTTGTACCTATGTTAGAGGTCTCTGACTCTATCATCTAACTTCCCTCTTATTGTCGCATTGGCATATGTCCCTCAGTGAGGAAGCTATCAAAGAGCTAGAGTGACACTAAGCTGCATCCGTCAAAATAACCCTGACCCTTAGATTTCTAGTTTATACTGCAATCCAGTACAATTGGGTACTGTAGTTCTTTCCCTTCTCAGAATTACGCTCTTTGCTTCCTAGTACATTGCTTGAGAAATTGCTGTTTTCTCTCTAACTACTTGAAGATTTGAGATGAGCAAGTGGATGAAGTTGAGGTAGGAGTTAACTTCAAAGCTATGAGTCATTATTTTTCTTGTGTACTCTATCAGCGTGGGTCAGCATGTGCCCGCATACATAGGATTTCCAAGTGGAAAGACAACTTAAATTCTCTGCAGAACTTTAGCTGACTAGTAAACTTGTCTTATGTAGGGAAGAAATATTTATTTGAAAAGGTGGCATTACCTCTTGTTTTATTTTTATGACTTCTTTAGCATTGAATTCTCCTTTCCACTTTATAAATCTCTGTGAGTTGCATTTAAAACTGCTATATAATTCTCTTTGAGATTGTGTATATATTAAAATAAAAACATTAACTTGCCCTTTTGTATCTTTCTTTAACTTTTTGCTTGCTTCAACGTATTATAGACTCTGTTCTGATATTTATTATTTTTCCAACTGATGAATATCCTGCAACCACATTAACCTCATGTTGGTTCCCAAGAGTGTTGTCCACTGGGATTTCATTTATTACAAATAATTGCACAGACAAGGTTAGACATCTTTGTCAACCCTATCAGAAAGTCAACACCATAACCAGTAATTAAAATGCTATTTGAAGCAGGCATTTGAGGAGTATTTTCTTATTTAGAATCCAACTTTACCCTTTCTAAAAAAGAATCTTTTTAAGAAATGCATCAATATGGTTTTTAAGTATTTTATAATCAAGAATGCATTTTGTAGGCTTGGGGTTGTGGCTCAGTGGTACACTGCTCGTCTAGCACACATGAGGCACTGAGTTCGAACCTCAGCACTACATAAAAATGAAATAAAGATATTGTGTCCAACTACAACTAAAAAATAAATATTAAAAAAAATAATGCATTTTGCTTTCAGCAAAAATCTACCATTGGCTTTTAATCTATGTGTGCACAGACTATATTTTGACAACTTTAATCTAGAATTTATTCATTGCTTATCTGTGTTTTCATTCTTTTCAGAGAAGTCTTCACATTGACTAGTAAATTTGTCAAAGGCACTATTTATTATTAATATCAGTGTCAACGAATAATTCCATTTGGAGCATTAAATAGATTAATCAAGGAAGTTTCTATCAAACATACTGAAGTGTATCCCTGTGATCTCAGGTGGCTTAAAGGTTTCTTTTTTATCCTTTCAGTTTAATTTCATAAGTACTTACCACACATTAGAGGGAGACAATAAAGCCAGGCACAGTAGTGCACTCCTGTGATCCCAGCAGTGCAGGAGGCTGAGGCAGGAGGATCTCAAGTTCAAAGCTAATTGCAGCTACTTAGATCTCAACTTAGCCAGCCTCAACAATCTTGTCTTAAAATAAAAAATAAAAAAGGGCTGGAGATGTGGCTTAGTGATCAAGTGCCCCTGGATTTAGTCCCTAGTACCAAAATAAATAAATAAAGAGAAACAATAAACTACACTTCTATCCAAAGATGAGCTGTCGAGGGTTATTGATTTTCTATTAGCTGGAATAACCAGGATTTTTTCAATATGTAGTTTTCTGTTAGGTTTAGATCTCTCATTTTAGAAATGTATAGATTTCCAAAAATAAATATTTCGTTCTGCATTTATCTTTATATTTAATCTGTGTTCCATTCTTTTCATTTTAATCACAATATCCAACACACTTTTTATTCCTAGTAACTGAAAAATGTCATAAACATGACTCTGCTCTTTGAAAAAGATTGTTTGGAAAAAAAAATTCACAGGGTGCCAGGAGCAGTTTCAAAACAGTGCCAGAGGAGGCCTCCCTCAGGTTTTGAGGCATCATTGATTCTTTGCCTTGAAGAGAGCTTAGCTTCCTTGAAGGTTTCCCAGAAGAAAGAATAAAATATAGCTTAACTTTGTTCTAAAATTAACTATCCCAGTGAAATCTATAATAATATACTGTTGAGAACATTTTTTTTATTAAAACAACCCTGTCAATAAATCCAGATTCATTTTTTCCTATTTTTATAGGAAGGAACATTGCTTCACAGAAAATGGTAACCATCCAGTTGTATTTATCTTCTCCTTTTTTAAAAATGAATTTAGTATATCAATCCCTTAGTCTCATTTGAAAACCTTCCAGTTTTCCTTTAGAGCCAACGTTTTGTTTTACTAGTTTGTGAAGAAAATTATCTGTTGATTTTTTTGTTTTATCATCACCTGAACTCAAACCTGAATGTATTTCAATATTTTCACTTTTCAGAATATTTTTCTCAGCACTTGGGCGAGTATGAGAACGTGCTAGCAGCACTGGAAGACCTGAATCTCTCCATCCTGAAGGCAATGGGAAAAACAAAGAAAGTAAGGAAATGCTGGTGTTTGTTTTCTATAAAAATATTTTCTTTGAAAAATATTTTTCTTGAAAAATCATACCTATTTCTTAGCATGTCATGAAAGATAGATTTCTTTTTTTTTCTTTTTTTTTTGATCATTAGGGACTTAATTTTCTTGATATTAAATAATCTATTTACTATTGTATAATTATAAACAAACTCTGTGCCAGAGACTCTGCTTTGTGCTGAGGATACAAAAATACAAAAAGTTATTTAGGCAGCTCTTAGTCTGGTGGGGACACATATGTGTAGATAAATAATTACATGATCATGTAGCAGAGAGGAGCACAAGATGGGACACCCAATTCACGCTGAAAGCATGGCACCTGTGGATGCAGAGATAAAGGAAATAGTATAGCTAGACAAAAGAGAACTAGATATGGAATAGCATGTGCCGAGACTCTGTATACAGGGCACTCAAGCAAATGAAAATGGACAAAAGACTGAATTAAAGAAAGCCAAAGGCTGGCTCCAGGTGAGGTGAAACTGGAGTGGGAAGGGAACACACCTTTCATGATGTTAACAAAGCTAAGGATTTAAGCCTTTATCCTGGATGCGAAAAACAAAAACAAAACAAAAATAGTGAATATTTTAAGCAGAGAGATGAAAACTCATGAAATCTTTCAAAAAGACCATAGAAGAATTGGTTTAGGATTGGGGTGAGTATATTGGAGGATACAATCATGTAGATGAGTAAGGAGGTTAGTTCACTAGTCCAGGTGAAAGATGTCATTTGGAGATTCTAGAAGAAGATATGGGGAACAGAGAGCAAATTGCACACATATTTGACAAAACAGAACTTGGAGAAGGACTGAAGCTGGAGGAGGAGAGAAATATGTGTCTAGGAGGCATCCTAGTTTTTAGCTTGTGTACCAGAGTCATGACTCTACCCTGGGATTACTGAGAGTGGACCAGGTATGAGGAGGTAAGATCATTAGTTCTCTTTTAGACATATTGAGTCTAAATTCCCTTAGAGACATCCGAGGAGAGTCAAATAAACCTGTGGCTACAGAAATCTAGATCTCATAGATGAGTTCTAGACTTGGAGATATGAATTTATGAATTGCCAATACTTGAGCAAAGAACTTGAATAATATTATCAAGAGAGAAAATAAAAAGTACAGTGAGGAGAGAATATAACACTATGTCATAAGAAACTTGAAATTTGGGTGGTGGGAGGAGAAGAAAGAGCCAGGAAGAGAGTCAGAATTGGGCAGAAAGATGTAAGGAAAGCCCAGAAGATATAGTGTCCAGAAGTTGAAGAAGAGAATATTTCAAGAAGTAGAGAGTAGTCAATAGTGTTGATCACTATGTAGAGATTAAGAGAAATAAAAATTAGAATTCCTATTGTCAGTGAATCAAGTAACATTTTAGCATATAAGATGCATGACAGGGCTGGGATTGTGGCTCATCGGTAGAGGGCTCGCCTAGTACAGGCGGGACCCAGGTTCAATCCTCAGCACCACATAAAAATAAAGGTATTGTGTTGTGTCCATCTACACCTAAAAAAATAAATACTAAAAAAAGATGCATGACAAATATAAATTTTTAAAGCATGTAAGGAATTTCTGGATAAAGACAACAGATTTATACATCCATTGAATTCTGCTTGTTTCTAAACCTCATTAAAAAAAGACTGGAATGAGATTATTTAAATGGGCAAGGGTATAGTAACAAAATTTAGGAACTGAAAAGCAGATGGGCAAGTGGTAGCTGAAAGAAGACTTGAGACATTGAATTCTTGGCCTGCAGTGACAAACAGAAAGTCACTAGCTTGTCTCATGAGACAGCTGAGGAATCAGTGGCACTAGTAGTCACCAGAAGAGGAGGGTATAGGGTAAAGTGAAATAATCTGCTAGGAGCCTGAGCAAGAAGCAATTAGACCCCCAGATCCCCTCTTCTACTCCACCCAGCTGATCTATGGCCTCTTTGTCAACCCAGGTTGAAAACAGATGTGTTTCTGAAAAGAGTAAAAGAGGTCTCTGTTCTGGGGCAATATCAGACACAGTTGAAGGATTCAGTAAAAGTTTATGCAGTAAATAAAAAGGTCTCCAGCTCTCTTCTCCTATTAAACTCCCAGAGCTTTGACAGTACATCCTTCAGGCAGACAGGAAGATTCTTCTTTCAGAAATCCTAACAGCACAAAAGGGGAAAAAAACATCTACAGATTCTCCTTTGATGAGAGCCTGGCCAGATCTCACTCGCCTTCTTTCTAGTACTGATCAACCAGTTCCTAGCCCACCTACCATTAAATTCACATAATCAGGCCACGAGGGGCAAAGACCAAACATGAACAAACAAGGAAAGAAAGAAGAAAAGAAGGGAGGGAGGGAGGGAGGGAGGGAGGGACAGAGGAAGGAGTTGACATAGGGGATTGTGTGGGAAGACGAATACTGGAGATAATTTTAGAAAATAAAGTTTAGAACATCTCCCAAAATATACAGCAAAACAGAAAATTGAGGCCTGAGCCTAGGATGCCCTGTACCCAAACACTAAATTGCAGAAAGGAAGAAAAAAAGAAAGAAAATTAAAATCAGAATTCATTTCCTTTTGACTTCTTCAAGAATTTGAAAATTGCATGATTAACTTCATATCATGAGAATTTCTCTCCGGGAAGGTCATTTTAAAAACCCCTTCCTGGGATGGCTTCTCCCCATTCTTTAAGTCTTATCTTGAATACCATGGCCTCAGAAACGTTTTCTCTGCCCATCCTACCTACAAAGTTTATCCCTCTGGGAGTATCTCATTTGTTTCCTGCTGGTGATTATTAGAATGAGTAAGTACACAGTTTATTTATTCTTTATAGGGAGAGAGAAGAACAGTGTCACTTCTTGCTTAAAACATTTACCTGACAAAAGTCTTTAAAATTTTATTGATAAGTTAAATAAATTTATATTCATTGAATGAATACTCATGCAACACCCAAAGCTAAATATTTTTGCTCCTTCAAGAAAAATCTCCCCTAAGTCCATTTATGAAACTAAGATTTCTTTTAATATGAAAGAAGGCAAATATGTGGTTTTCCTTATTTTCTCACAGATGTGCTCTAAAATCATGTCATTTCCCTTGTATGAATACAATGAGGCTTTGTGGAATTAAAATTGAGGTCAACCTGTTATTTTGATCTCTTAAACTATTTAAAAAAAATTTGGGGGGGGGGGGTATTGATGCCTAGAAATGCATTTGATTTGTATCACCTTACTGCTTAATTAAGCTTAATTAAAGAAAACGTGTATCTTTGATTTTTTTCAAAAAAAAAAAAAAGAAAAGAAAAGAAAAAAGGAAATGGTAGCGAATAAGATTAGAAAGGGTCCCTCAGTCCGATGCTCAAAGATGAACTACATGCAGGAACTGTGACATTTTTCAAGCTGCTGGTGCTCTGTGGCCTTCTCTGTGCTGTCCAGACAATGAAGCCTTCTGAGTGAGAAAGTTTCTTTTCGAGAATCTCGGTATATTTTTACCCAGATGAAAAGTCCTGTCTCAGCAGGAAGAGCTGACTATTCCAAGCTTTTATGAAAAATGGAATACAAGCCATTTGTGGTCTTTTTTGACTGGCAGTACATCTGTTTGCTGTGTCAGAGAACAGATTAAAAGGGTTTCAACCACTCAACCAAAACCCCAGGAGGTGACTCAGGACAGACATAACGTGCCATCATTTCCCTTCTCCTCCTTCTGAATCCAAGACTTTCAACACATCCTCAAGGGCTGCCTTGATTATTTTACTTTGCTTACTTTTCTGCAACAAATATCATAGATTAAATTCCAAATGATGATTTGAAAGTTCTGAAAGTGGTTAAAACTAGACCCTTCAATCAAACTTCAGATTCTCTCTCTCTCTCTCTCTCTCTCTCTCTCTCTCTCTCTCTCTCTCACACACACACACACACACACACACACACACACCCATTAGGTTTTTCCATTTTTCTTTCTACATAGTGAGTGATAAATGGACTTACAGTATGTGAGGTGATTATAACCCAAAACAAAGATAGAATTCTGGTGCTAAAGATAAAGTTCATTATGTGCTATGCTATATGTAAACATACATGGAATTTTCCTGTTTATTGGTAAAACGGAACAGGAGATCATTATAACTTCAGTGAAGAATGGTGTTCTTTAAATACTCATTTAGGGTTCAGGAGTCACTTGACTGAGTATAGCCATGAAAACTTCCAAAATTAAAATGGGTGTATATGTATAGTTTTTATCTAAAAGTTATTTTGCAAACAGGTGTATCTTGCAATCCATCTTCCTTGATAGCAAGGGAAGAAAAGGCCAGATCTATAGCATAGCTGGGCCTCTATTATCACTCTCCCTCTCTGGGATCCTTGTGATTTCTTGGGCTGGCACTTCTAGTTCTTCACCTCAACCTCCCATCCCTCCTCCACCACTGTTTCCTTGGGTTTGGCATCCAGGCCTCCCTGGATTCCATAGGCCTTTCATTATGTAAATGTTACAATAGTTTATTTTATGACTTTTACTAAAAAAAAAAAAGAAGAAGAAATACTGGTAGGTCTTAGTACTTCTCTATGGGGAAAATATCATTAACTGCTAAAGTTTATATAGGATTTATCATGAAAAATGTCTCTTCTTTCAGGTGAAATATCAGAGCCAAAATGGCATCGTGTGAAAGAATGAAATGCCCTCTTAGGCTTAGAAGACAGGTATTTTCATTCTTATAGTTTCATTATGACCTTTAGTTTCATTACAAGTGTTCATCAAAAATAAAAGGGAAGAGCTGGGAGTGGGGGCACACGCCTGTAATCCCAGTGGCTCAGGAGGTTGAGGCAGGAGAATTGAGAATTCAAAGCCAGCCTCAGTGAAAAGCGAGATGCTGAGCAACTCAGTGAGACCTGGTCCCTAAATGAAATACAAAAATAGGGCTGGGGATGTGGCTCAGTGGTTGAGTGCCCCTGAGCTCAATCCCAGGTAACAAAAATAAATTTAAAAAAAAGAAATAAAATAAAA